TGGATGGATGGATGGATGGATGGATGGACGGATGATGGATGGATGGATGGATGGATGGATGGACGGATGATGGATGGATGGATGGATGGATGGATGATGGATGGATGATTGATGGATGGATGGATGGATGATTGATGGATGGATGGGTGGATGACTTGTCTCCCTGTCTGTGTTTCAGTTTGATTGACAGGAGGGGTCTGATCCAGGCTGACACTCCACAGACCGTGTCTCAGTCCAACGGGTCCAGCGGCGGCGGCGGCTACGCCTCCACACAGCTGCACAGTCACATGGTAGGTAGAGGTGGGGGGGCGGGGGTTTCCCATTACTCCCAGTGTAACCCCTCCCCTCCTGATCCCTCAGTGTGACCAGGACCAGTGCATCCAGAGCACCAAGTTCGTCCTGCAGGCTGCGGCCACGCCCCTGCTCCACAGCGACCCCGTCGTTCTGGCCCCTCTGCCTGCCAAGACCCCCACACCAGGGGGTCCCTGCTCCTACCTGGCCCCGACGCAGCCGTCTCTGCCGTCCTGCGCCGGAGACGTCCTGACATTCAGGGATGCCGCCGTCGACTCCCACTGCCACCATCATCTTCACCTGCATCACCTCCAGCACCACCAACACCACTTCACCAGCCCCGAGGAGACGCCGTGCGGCACGCCGCAGGGCGCCCTGCCCTGCCACGCCCACATACACCTACAGCACCCTGCCCCACCCGTCCTGTACGACCCCGTCACTCAGGACGCTCTGCATGAAGACTCGGTCCGAGGACTGGTGAAACTCAGCTCCGTCTGATGCCTTCAGGAACGTTACGAACAGAAACAAACCAGACGTTGGTGATTTTATTACATCTAGTAGGGCTTTTTTTTAACCAGGTTCTAAAGTCTGCAGCGTCGTGCCAAAGTTTGCACCCATCAAACATCACAAGTCAATACTTCACTGTTTTCCTATGACTGACCGGCAGGAAGTCAAAGTGGGAAGAAATTTTTGTTTTTGTTTTATTTTAGTTTATGGCAGATTTGATTCAGATAAAACCTGCAAAATGTGCAACATTAACACTCTTAAACATACCTTTAAACATGGTAGTGGCAGCATCATGGTATGGGGAGAGTTGATGGGAAGTTGGATGGAGAAAATTCAGGCGACATATAGGAAAAGTTCGGTCATATTCAGAACTTTTGAAAGTTAGAATCAGAAATACTTTAATAATCCCAGAGGGAAATTACTTTTGTTACACGCTCCAGTTACAGTTTTATATAATATAAATATATATACACACATCCAACTATTTTAATATATTAATTTAGATCTTTAAGTCTCCAGAAGCCCTGCAGTCAGAAGAGCTTTTGACTCAGTTCAGCTGAACACAAAAGCAAGCCACACTTTTCAGATTTTAAACAAAAAAACAAATTTTCTCCCGCTTCCTACTTTCTGTTGGTCTGTTGCATAACATCCCGATAAAACGCTGAAGGTTTTGATGCGACAGAATGTGGAGAAGCTGGAGGATTGTCGCTGCTTCTTTACGGTTCGGTTTGTTTGGTTTCAGGTTTTTGAGCTCAGATTTCAACAAATTCAGGTGAAGCAGTCTGACTCCGAGGAGGAACTGCTCCAGGACCAAAGCTGGACCTCCCTCCTCTCTACCTTCATCTTCCTCCTCTTTGAGGAATTTATCAAACATAGAACTTTGATACCAGAATAAGCTACTTCAGTGCTGATGAGACGCTGCACCAAAAGAAAAAAGATAAAACACTGATTTCCTTCTTCTGTGTTGGATTGTTTCTGTGGAGCTGATGGAGGCCAGCCTCACTGCCACACAATGTCAGTTTTTATACGGATGATGTCATCCCTGCATTAAATGAAACCACTCTGTGCTTTTATTCTGAAAGTCGTTCTCATAGATATTCATCTCTTCACAGCTCGTTTGTCGCGGATGATGTTTTTGAAATAAAAGAACATAAAAACTAAACTTCCAGTGAAAAACTGGAGCCTTTCAAACATTATTCATCTACATTTAAATAGAAGTGATTTTCATTCACACCTGTTTGATGACAGGCTAACCTGTAAAGCCTTTTAACCTTCTTCCTATTTAGTTTGTTTCCATTATCTTTCTGATAAGCTAATGTTGAAATATACTAGTTATCATGTAGATTTTTATATTTAAATTTATTTGATTAATTAGGCTTATTAATTCAATTAAGTTACTTATTTATATTTAAACTTTTCTGAAAGCAAACGTCTAAAAGCTGCTTCAATAAATAAATATATATAGTAAAACATGTAGGACAGCAGTAAATTACTTTCTCTACAATTTCAAATAAAACATTTGAGGTCTTCTGATCATTAATTTTTTTTTTACTTCCCTTAGAATCATAATTTAAAGATAATTTTAAAACAGTTCCCTGGTTTTTATGACACTCATGGGGTTCCTTTGTTTTTTTTGTTTTTTTTATAGAAGTTGAAGATGGATTTGTTTTTTTTTTCAGACAAGATTAAAAATATATCTGCTGCGCTTGTAACTATTTTTAATGCAAATGAGGAAAAACGTTTAGTATAAAATAAACATTTCCCTCTTGTACAGAGGCCATCTGAACAGAGTAGCACTCCTCCAGGCCGCTAGGTGGCAAACGTTCCTCCAAAGCAGCCAATAGGCGGCCGCCCCGGGCGGTAACCTGGATACAGTTGCCAGGCAGACCGCCCCCTGTCAGCTGCGAGGGAAGAGGGATTTAACATCTGGAAGTTTTAGAGGGAAAATCCTTATAAAAGGTTTGATTCAAGCCCGAAAACCGAGTTTAATGGAAGGTAAAAGCATCCGCACTCCAACATAGTCAATAAATATAAAACTATTCATCATCCAAACCTTTGTTTGTCAAACTAATCATTAACAAAATCGATTAATTTATGGAACGTCTCATTTCATTGTAAGACATTTACCGGTTTCAAGCTAAATCAACTGATTAAATGATTAAAAAAACATTACGTAACTGGTGTTTTTTAATGAGTTATATGTTTTTTTCTGAATAAAACCAATTTTCGCGCTAACAGCATCGTTGACGATCCCTTTTGACGACATAAACAAAGGAAAAAGCGCGGCAGCTGAACAAAAACACTTAAAAAAAGAGCAAAATAAAGCAAATCTCACTATTATATAAACTTATCACATATCGAGGTTGACATGCATCGGTGTTTTATATGTCAGGTTGTCCTTTTCAACGCAAATCTTTTTTTTTTAACACAGCTGTAATAATAGAATATATAATCCCTTTTCAACCCCACAACGCTTCCCTTATAATATATATGTGAGTTTTTAACCTCTTATTAGAGGACATTAATACAACTGTTGGTTTTAATTGCTTAAAAGATTGTTTATAGTAATTTTATGGTGAATAAAAATGCAGTTTGCATTTAAGAATCTATGTTTGTTGAAAAAACATACTTTGACATTATGATTCCAGTAGATATAGTTTTTAATATAAAATAAAAATTCAATTTAAATTTTCGATGTTTCATAAGCGCCCGTTAAATAGTTTTATAACATCAATTATTTAGCAGTTTCGTAACTTTTCAGGTTTGAATCTCCCGCACAATGGTGGAGCAGGAAGCGGCTGTGATTGGCTGAGTTGTTAAAAGGGTGGTCACGTGATCTGCTGCTATTGGCCAGTCAGTTCTAGCGGGAAGGTTCCAATAAAAGGAGAGCAAAAGATAGAAGGAGCTTCATTCTTCGCTCTCCGTCTGTCTCTGCTGCTTTTAGTGTAGCTTTCTGGTCTTTTAGCCTTTTTTCTCAGGTTTTTATTTCCTTGTTTTTTCTCTTTCTCGTTCGTTTTTGTGTGAAACCGAAGCAGTGACGATGCTGTCCGCGCGCTCCCCTCTCTCTGTGAAGAACCAGCAGAATCTCAGCGGCCAGATGAGCGACCTGAGTCTGGACAAAGAAAACACGGTAAGAAATTCCTCCACCTCCACCTGGAAACACCATTACTATATAAAATAACCCGCCTGTTCCTTTTCCAACATTTTAACTTGTTTTATTTGTTTCTATTCAGCCTCCGAGCCTGAACGGCACCCGGGTTCTGGCGTCCAAAACCGCCCGGAAGATCTTCAGTGAATCCTCGGTGAGTTCTGGAAAAAAGTGCCGGTCAGGGTTTCCTAATGTTAGCGGGACGGTGGAGGGTTTTAAGCGGAGGGAGAGCCGCTGATTGTGGCGCCTAAAAGTGGAGGAAGTGGCGCCAACAGGCTGCGATCAGCAGCTGCTCACTGCAGCGATCCTTCAATGGTTGCATTCACTGTCTTCATCATTGGTTTGTAGAAAACAAAACCTCAAAGTTGACTTTAAAGCAACCTAATGAGCTTTATTTGGTTATGGAAGGTTTTTATCTTATTTCAAGTGCATGAAGTCTAATTAGATTAATTTAGGAGCAGATATACTCCTTCATTTAAAAGATATTGCAGATATTTTGATATTTTTTTTTACCTTTTTAGATAAGATGCAGTTTAATACTGAGTTAATATGCTCGTGGAGGTTCTTAGTCATCCAGTTAATAGTCAAGACAAGAAATTTAAATAATCCACTGGACTTTGTTTCCAAGTTTGAAGACGTTTTTCTTCCCATCCAGGAAACCTTTTCAATTCAAAATGTCCGAAATAGCATTTAATTAAAGGTTTTATAAAGTAGTCCAACTAAACAAAAACAAGGCTTTGTTAGGTTGCTGTATAAAGCATGGAACTCAACTCTATTTCTGACATTTTGAACTGAAAAAGCTTCCTGGATGGGAAGAGAAGCATCTTCAGAATTTGATTTTTTTACTTTTTTGGAATGGCTGACTTTTTAGCACACCGAGTTAATATAGATGATGATGCAATGATGGAAGAGACTAACTGATTAATTATGTCAGGACACAAAGTTCCCTTTAATCAAGCAGCAAAGCTTCTTTTATCCTCTTCTGTGTTGCTGGGTTCTGGGCCTCCATGACCAACTGTTGGCCCCACCCTTGCCCTCTAGAACTGCCACTGTGGGTGGACCTTATTTGTAATGTGTGCTCTCACTTCCTTTTTTGTTTTTTAATGAACATGTAAGGCATAATTTTTAAATTCTCACTCCTTTATATGACCATGGGTGAATTCTGACAGATCAAACATTGTCAAATATTTCTTCTGCAGCCCACAGATGTTAAGAAGAGCAGCTCGGAGGAAGAGCCTCTGCTGAAGGAGAACCCTCGGCGCTTCGTCATCTTCCCCATCCAGTACCACGACATCTGGCAGATGTACAAGAAGGCGGAGGCTTCCTTCTGGACGGCCGAGGAGGTAAATCATCTAATCGCAGACTGCAGCTTTTTAATGGATATTTTAAGGATTATCATCCCCTCTGCAGCTAAGATGTTATCATTCGATTTAAATATCGTAGCTGATGTTCACCTCGGCGTGTTGATGCAATAAATCCATTGCATGATGCTGCCACCTCCGTGCTAACTAAAGAGCTTTGAGTTTGTTAACTCTGTCTGCTTCTGTCCAGGTGGATCTGTCCAAAGACCTGCAGCACTGGGAGTCTCTGAAATCAGAGGAGCGTTATTTTATCTCTCACGTTTTGGCGTTCTTCGCCGCCAGCGACGGCATCGTCAACGAGAACCTGGTGAGGAACCAGCAGCTTGTGTTTTAGAAGGCGGCTCCATCCTGGACCCCTTTTCCTCATGGTTGTTCCCTCTTTTGACCACCAGGTGGAGCGCTTCACCCAGGAGGTGCAGGTGACAGAGGCCAGGTGTTTCTATGGTTTCCAGATCGCCATGGAGAACATCCACTCAGAGATGTACAGCCTGCTGATCGACACCTACATCAAGGATCCCAGTGAGAGGTGAGCTGCTCTAACTGGGCTGACTGGGAGCTCTCTCTGGCTCCGCCTTCTCTGACGGTGTGTTCAATGATCCTCAGGGAATACCTGTTCAACGCCGTCGAGACTCTGCCGTGTGTGAAGAAGAAGGCCGACTGGGCCATCAACTGGATCGGCAACAAGAACGCCTACTACGGTAACCCCACCCGCCCTCTGACATCATAGCGCTGCCGTTGACGATGGTGATGATGCTGACCAGGTGTCTGATTTCTCAGGAGAGCGTGTGGTGGCGTTCGCCGCAGTGGAGGGAATCTTCTTCTCTGGCTCCTTTGCCGCCATCTTCTGGCTGAAGAAACGCGGCCTGATGCCTGGCCTGACCTTCAGCAACGAGCTCATCAGCAGAGACGAGGTGACTGACCGCCCGCGCCGTTCTGCACGACCCGTCCGGTTCTGGTTGGTTCAGCTCTAACTGTCTCTGTGATGCGTTCAGGGTCTGCACTGCGACTTCGCCTGTCTCATGTTCAAGCATCTGGTCAACAAACCGTCGGAAGAAACCGTCACCAAGATCATAAAGGACGCCGTGGCGATCGAGCAGGTGGGGCGGCGGCCGCTGTTCTGCTTCCTCCTGCCGCTGGGCTCTCTGGTTCCGCCATGTTTGACCAGAACTTGTGTTTCTGTGCAGGAGTTCCTGACGGAAGCTCTGCCCGTCAAGCTGATCGGGATGAACTGCGACATGATGAAGCAGTACATCGAGTTTGTGGCCGACAGGCTGCTGCTGGAGCTCGGCTTCTCCAAGGTACGGACACAACCGGAGCTGGGGGGGTTCTGGTGGTCGCAGGGGGTGTGGTGATGATCCGCGCAGGGGTACGGACCTCAGCCAATGATGGGGGCTGAGCTCTGCTGCAGGAACTGATCAGGAACATGTGGTTCTGTCAGGATCGGCAGCAGAGCGACACAGACGCCTGTCTGAACACGCCTGCAGCCTCTTGGTCATAGAATGAAGGATCCTAGAAAGGTTCTGTTCAGATTAGTCTAAATCTCACCTCCTGTCCCGTTTCTCTGCAGATCTACAGGGTGGAGAACCCCTTCGACTTCATGGAGAACATCTCTC